CAGGGATCATCCTGGGAGAAGGGTCTGGCAGAGCTTCGATGTCACTTTGAACAGGGAAGCCCCAGCTGGGGCAGCACTGCGGGCTCCAGGTAATGCCCATTGAGGTCCTTCTGCCGACCAGGAGCCCCCAGGAGCGGGGGGTGTCGGCTCAGGACCATGGTGGGATTTAGGCAACGTGCACAAGACCTCTTTTATTTTGGATATGAACATACCTTCTCTCTCCAGTTTTGCCTGTCCTTTGTCTACTAGATCAGAGAGGCTTTCTGTAAGAAGAAATGGCTCCTTGGCTGTGGCAGTCGGTGCTACAGAGGTGCCCAGCCCAGCAGAGTTGGGGATGCTCTGCCTGCAGAAACCCTTCGCTCCTGCTGTCACTGAAACTGTCTCCAGCCACGTATGCACAGGTCTGGTTTCGGATGCAGTGAGGGATCCCAACTCTGCAGCCAAGGCCACCTCCTGGGGCATGAGTCCTCTGCATTCATGAATCTCGTAATATCTTATTTTCTGCATCATCCCTAGATTATTTTTCGAGTCTGCTCTTGTCCTGTGTAAGCATGATGTGCAGCCATGATCACTCACTCATAATGAAGGGTCGGGGTGTGGAAGTGCCAAGAAATGCGATTATAGGAAGCAGACAGTAAGAGCCAGGTCTTGCTGCTTTGCTGCTGCTTGAGGAGTTGCCTGTGTAGCACCAAACGGGAGGAGAAGATGGTAAGAACAGAGGGAGGAGGTGGTCTGGTGCAGAGGTGCATGGAGCATGTTGCTTGGGTGGATAACACGTGTGTCCCTTTCACGAAGAAGAACCCCCCTGAGCTGTCCCCTGGTGATCTTGTACAGAGCGCTGGGGAAGGCACCTGGACTTGGAGCCTCCAGAGGTGATTAGTGCCTGATGAGGAACTCGTCACAGAATAACGAGGGGGCCACTACTCCCCCTCAGCCCCGTGGGCAGCTGCCCACATGAGGAAGTCTCTCGGCTGGCAGGGATCCTGCGTGGCTGTTGCTTTCCCGGCGCTGCCTCGGCTGCTTGCCGTGCCAAGGGGGTGCAGTTGTGCCCCTGCGGGAAAGCCTGAGGCAAAGGACCCCTGCTTGGCCAGGGAGGGTGGATGGCCCGGAGGGAAAGAGGAAAAGACCACAGTGCTCCGTCTTAATAGAAAATCATAGGGAGGGTTTTGGTGCATTTACCAGCAAGCCTTCTCCAGATTTACCAAGCGGGTCACCCTCCAGAACGCCTGCCAGCATTTTATATATGCTCCCCACGCTCTCTTGGAGCTGCAGAGGCTTAGCTTGTTGCTCTCTTTCCCTGTGTTTATCATTAATGCTGCGATCAGGCCCAGCAACCCTCATCACAGAGAGTCTGCTCCGTGCTCAGCACGCAGAGTCACTGCGCCAGGAACGCCACAGCACCCTGAGCCATCCCCGCCCCGGGGCAGGCACAGCTCCAAGCAGCGCTGGGGGGTGCGACTTCTTCCCCAGCGCTGGCGACCTGGGCTCCTCGGGCTCCAGGAGCAACCCGGTGAAGGCTCGATAACGCTGGCAGGAGGGTTATCTCTGGATTATTAGAAATATCACGAGACACGCTCTTAGCATTTCCTGTTTTGTGTTTTTCTGCGATTATTAAATGATATATTAACCAAAAGGTGGAGGACTCCCAGTCAAGCAAACAAAGTATAAAAGTAATGACATCGCTTGGTAAAGCCAGTGGGATCACGGGCACTTCAATGCCGTGTTGGTCTTGCTGGGGGCAGCAGCTGCTGTTGCTCGAGTGAAGCACGGGGTTATTTGGGAGCCTTCCCTGAGTGCTCCCAAGTCATAACAGATTGGACTGCTCCCTCAGAAACCTGAATTTCTAGAGTCTGTGGTGCTTGGCTTGGTACAGGTGCACTCTCTCTAGCATCTTTAATTCTGAAGTCTAAATTATAAAGCATTTTGACATTTTTCTTCTAATATCACTGTGGATTAGAAAGGAAGACCCCAAGAGAAAGATGGATGAGGGACTACCAGTCAAAGGCATGCAGCAGTTCATCAACGCTGAGCTACCCTGTGCAATATTTTGAAGTGTAGCAGGTTATGTCTTAGCTCAGACTCATGGTGCCATCTCTTAGACCTCGGTCTCCGAGCTCCTGGAGGTTAGGTGGGAGTCTGGGGTTTGATTTCCTTGTGCCCTTGTGACTGTAGGTGATACCTACCTCAAAATCTAGGCAATTTGCAAATGTCTGTGGTTGTGGGTTTGGTTGGTTGGTTGGTTTTTTTAATCCTCACCATTTTGACTTGCTTTCAGGGCTTTGTAGGACCTATGCTTGTTTTGTAGCCCAAGACTTAGTGCTACATTTTGCAGCACTATGATTTTATAGTGCTTCCTGATTTTACAGTGCGGGGGTGCTTGTGCATCAGAATTGCTGCCAGTTTGTATCACAGCACAGGCTGCACAAAAACACTCCAGTGACTCCAGCAGCATGCCTTCCACTTTTCTGACGGGTACAACCATGGGATCGAAGGGGCAAGCTCTACAAATTACCCTCCCAGGGAAACCCTGGTGCTTGCAGGGTCAGTGCAGGCCCGGGGGGGCTGCTTGGGAATGGGGGTTAGCAGAGCCCTGGTACCCAGCCAAAGCCTCCACCGGGCTCCAGCCGGGCTCCGGGGGGACCTTGGTGGCTGCAAGCAGGGGAACAGCAGCCCCAGAGTTGCTCCACCGTGGCTGCCCCGCTGCATCCTGGAGAGGCAGGATCCGGCCAAGACCCCCACCCGGCAGTGGCAGCTCCTGCTGCAGCCCCGGGGGCTCTGCCGTAGCTGTTGGGCTGAAAACCTGCAGCTCTCAGCCCCGGGGACAGTGGGCTCCGAGCTGGGGCGGGGGATGCAGGGCGGGATGCTCCAACTTGAGCTTGGACCAGCTCTGAGCACACAGCCCCAGCCAGTTTTAGCGCCGTCCACCCCAACCTCTCCAGCTGCAGAGCTTCCGACAGGCAGAGCCCTCCTGTCCCCGTGCCCAGGAGAGCCAACAAGGACATTTTGCATCTCTGAGTGAGCGGAGGTGCTGTTTATCTCCTTCGGCTTTTGAAGGCTTCCATACAGATGGCTGCATCTGAGCAAATCGCCTACGCTCCTTTATTGTCGGCAGCGAGAAATGGGCATGGTGCATCTCCTCCTGAAGGACGTGAGGAAAAACAGCCCGGGTGAGTCACGCTCCCTTGAAGGACCTGTTCCTGCGACCCACTCTCGGACATTAAAAGTCAACATCGGCATGTCTGAAGCTAAGTGAAATGAGTGAAATGAGCCCCCGTTCTCCCTCTCCCCCCCGCCCCCAGCTGGATTTCTGCAATAAGCAGCTGGCAGGGAGGAGGAGACATCATCTGAGTGTCTCCCAACCTGCCCCGTTCCCCAGCTCCTGCCAGCCCTGTGTTGAGGGGTGAGCCCACATCTCCGGGTACCCCGTGTCCATGCTGGGGTCCGCAACAGCCTGAGGATGGGAGCATCGCTGCCTCGCAGCCCCTGGGGCAGCACAGGCATGGCCAAGTGCGGATGGAGAGCGAGGGGTGTCCCTGGGCGGCTCCGACAGTTCCTCCCCCTGTTTTTAAATCTGCCAAGCAACAGCCTGTTTTTTTCACAGCACTGGGATGCTGTTACAGGATTACCTGCAGCGTAGGCAAGCTTTCTGGGCATGCTTCTGGATGGACACCAGATACAAAGCCTGCCCTAATCCTCCTGGTTTATAACGCTGCACTTTCTTGCTTGTTTCCCACACTTCCACACACTGATGCAGTAAAAAAAAGCTGTCCAGCAACCTGAGTATTTACAGGCTTTTCTGTACCATAACCTGTGTGCTTCATACACCACAATGTAGTCACAGAGGAGGAAGCCAGGCAGCTTTTTTAGGAAGAGCAGAGGGAGCAAGGGGGCTCATGCAAGATGATGGGACTCCCAAGAGAGAGCCAACAGCTGAATTGCACTTTCCTTCAACCTCCTGCCATCCAGCATGAGACCATTGTCCCTCTACCGCCAGGCTGAAAAATCAGAGGCAATTACACACCTTCCAGGCAAGGATCAGAGCAGTGCTCAGTGAACGGCGTCATGACGGTGGATGCACAAGAATGAGGTGCGGCCAGCACTGCCCACCGAGCCCTGCCCCGGCGGCAGGACAGCCTCACCTCCAGTGGACTTGACCACCAAAACCCAAACGGAGTGCCAGGGACAGGAGTGAGCCCTACAGCTTGTGTGCCCGTAACACGCCGGGGCACGCCGTATCCCCACACGCTCTGCCGAGGTGTGTACCCAGACCCAGTGCCTCGACCCCGTCCTGTCTCAGCTCCCCGCTGCCAGTGGTTCAGCTCAAGCTGATGAACATTTTTCCAGGACTGACTGAGGATGTGGTTACTGGGATCTTTTCCTCTCCCTTCTCATTCCTGGCACTTCTCTACCTGCTTTCATTTTTTCACTCCTTCCTTTGGCTTCTCCTCTGCAAATTTATCATAAAGTTGTTGTTTGGTGGCTCAGAAACAGGAAGTGCTAAATCTTTGAGGACATCAGAAGTTTCCTTTTATTGTGGTCCTTTCACCTTGCGCAGAGCACTGTCAGGGAGCAAGCTGGCTGCAGGCAGAGTCCCGTGGCCCGAGGATGCTGGCAGTCCTTGCAGCACCAGGACCTGTGTTGTTGGGATGCTCTGTCCCAGAAGTCAAGGGCTGTGGCCTCACAGGCTGCTCTGGCTTTGCATGCCTGTCACTGGGACAAAGTCAGACCTGAGTGCAGCCACCAGAAAGGTAGAAACTCCAACTTCCTCTGAGTCATTTTCCTGGTGGAACAAAACTTTGACAGTTACTTGCTTCTTGTGGCATTCAGAGCCTCACTGACGCTCAGACAGGGCCAGGGGAGCAGCAGTGGTGATGCCCACCGCAGGGATGTCCGCTGGGCAGCTGGGCAGGTCCATATGGCACAGAGTTTGTGGTGGGCTTGAGCCACCCTTTGCAGTGCTGACCCCCAGATCTGAGTTTCCCTTTGCTTTTGTCCTGCAGTCCCACCCACTGTCCCTGTGCAACACCAGCGAGGATGAACACACCGAATCGGGCTTCATCACCATTGTCAAGCTTGAACAGCCGGATCGGGATCCCAACCCCTGCTTGTCACTGGCTAACAAGGTAGGTGCAAAAATGCCCCCAGTGGCACCAACATGGGAAGTGAAACCCATTGTGAAGGGAAGAGTGAGAGCAGGAGGCAGCAAGGTAGGAAAAAAGCTGTTGAAAGGTGGAGAAAAGGACAAGGATAGAGCAGGGTCCTTGGCAGAAGGGGTCCTTTGGGAGAGACACTGTGCCAGCCATCCCCAGTACCCATCCCTCTGTACTTTTTGGACTGCCTGGCTTTGTAAAAGGTGTGGCATTTTCCCTAATCTGACTGCTTTAGGACAGCTCAGACCTTTCCCCAGCATCTAGTACACTTTACTGCTTGGCAGCCTCGTGCCCCTCCTGTTTTTCAGCTGTCTCTTGCTTGCTGGCCTGTTGGAGAGATTTGTGTTTCCCCGTGTCCTCTGTCCTGAGAGAAAACATGGACAGACAAAACATCTTCTGTGATTCTGTCTTTAAGATTAGTACTGTAATATTTCACTGGATGAGGCACGTGAAGAATCAATGCTGAGCAATCCAGACAAATGCAAACCAGATAAACAAGCAGTGGGATATGACGCTTTAGCAGTGCGGGCAACCATCTGCCCTACAAAGGGATGGGAGGTCTCAGAGGTCTTCATATCGGGTCTCCTGTGAAAGAGGTACCTTCATGAAACAGCAGTTACTGTGTCAAAAGCTGAGGCCACTGGTACAATTCTCTGGTAATAAGGAAGTCAAGTAGGAACGAGGGTCATTTTAAGCCTTAAAATCTTTCTGTTTCTGATAAAGTTGCGTGGATAAGGCTAACATTAGCTTTTTCTTCAGTGGTTCACTGCATCCTTTTATTGTCTCAGTGCTAAATGGTGTGTTATTCTCCACAACCACTGTACAAACATGAAAAAAACCCTTGTTTAGCTCTTCTTCAGGTGATGCCACCTCTGTTATCTGCTTTCTGCTGGCAGTGACATGCCGAGGATGGGGACAGGCTCTTTTTCTGTCCTCCCTGCAGCTCAACTGAAGAGAGCAGACAAAACTTGTACCAAGCAGTTGTTCCTGCATGTGGCAACAAAAGCAAGGAAAGGGATGTGATGCTGTGATGGATTTGCCACCTCAGAGCTGCATCTGCCCAGCTGCATGGACAGCCAGGCAGCCATGCCTATCCCTTTCTGGGCCAGGGTGGAAGCCTAAGTTTGGTTTGCTGCTGCTCTGGAGCTGATGCCAGTTGTTAGCACAAGCCAGTGTGCTGGAGTTATTGACCCGTGGCCATCCAGATGTGGCCATCGTGTTATAGTGGTTCCACTGCTGCATCTCATGGGGGAAGATGCTGGAGGTGGGGGCAGCGATGGCTGGTTTGGCAAGTGCAGCTACTGTGGAGGATCCTGAACAGGAGGAAGGAGCAGCTTCAAAGTCTCATCTTCCACTTAAGAACCTAGAAGGTTTAAAAACTGTTTTGCTAGTTTTGTCCTTAACCTTTGAGTCTCTGATCATAGTTCTGGAAGTACCCATGTGTTACTGACTTGAGGGATTGGCTGAGGAAGGTCTGCACAGAGAGGACAAGACAAGATTGCTGCACTGTGGTCATCCTCACTAGCCTTAATCCCTTCTCCACGACCACTAACCCTCCCCAGGCAAATAAACCCTCAGTTCATTGCCATGCTCATGACTCGATAGAGTGACAGCTCACTGGCCTTTAGTCATCATTGTTTTGTTACCAGAGCCGAATCCAATAATGGATTTTGAGATCCAGCTGAAGATGACGTCGGTTGCCATCCTGCTTGCAGGTAGTCCTGCTCCAAGATCTCACCCAGGGAGGCTCACAGCTCTTCTCCCCCAAGTTAGGACTAGTTTAGCCATGAAATGCAGGCAGATGCTGGCCACATCCCTGGGCCCTGCCTTACAGTACACCTTGGTTCCTCCATCCCCCTGCAACTGCTGCTCTCTGGCTGCTTCTCCATCCTCCCAAGTCCTATGCCAAGCTCCTTCCCTCCAACATCTTACAGATCTCTTCCTCAAAATCCCTGGACAACGCTTCTCCTCAAGAGCAGGGATGTAACTGTGGGATGTGGCTGGTGCTTGCTGGAGCAGGAGCCTTGTTTTCCTGTCATGTATTTCTTGTGGTAGAGCTCTGCACGTTGAATTGCAGGGCCATATCAATGATGATAAAAATAGCCATGTGCAAAGTGTTATCGTAACCTCTGCTTTAGCTGTCACCCAGCCAAGCAGCGCACACAGACAACCCCGTCCAGCCCAGCATGAGGATAACTTCACCAGCCACGTGATGTACTTTTCTGCTTCTTCTCTCTTAAATTCTAGCACTGCTTCATCATCCAAAGCTAAAACCAGAAGGATAGGTGTTTGGTCTGGCAGGGGAGAGGAAGGCATGGAAAATACCTCTAGAATCAATTCAAAGTGATTTATTTTTCTTTCTGATGCATCATTTATAATTTTTTTGGTGTATTTTTTTTTTCTGAGTGAACCACTGATTGCAAGTCTGGTTGACAGACTGCTGAAACCTCCTAAATCATCCTGTAAATACATATTTGCACCAAAAGTGTTTCAGTCCTCAAAGAGGGAGGTCAGATGTGCCATGTGGCTGAAGAGATCCAACACAAAGACAGTAAGAACTCAGAAAATGATTACAGCAACCAGGCTGTGAATAGCTTGAACGAAAGTTGTGTTCTTTGCAACAGGAGTTAGAAAGATGTTGGGAAGAGTCACTTGTCCTGTCTCAGTTGTTTGTTTCCCTATCGTCGGTGTCTTTAGCAGGATAAAATCTTTGTAGAGCTGTTCATTGTTCATCAAACCTTGACTGGCTCCAACGGGTGGATGTCACTACCTGAAAGTCCCATTTCTTCTTTGGTGCTGGCAAATGCTGAGGCTTCTTTGATCCCAAGCAGGACCCCAGTCTCTGATGGCTGCCCCGAGTCTCTGATCCCACTTTTCCAGGTTTCCCACCTGGTATACCAAACCCAAGAGTGCCAAATCCTATCAGCAGCTCAGAGCCTTCAGCCCTGCCTCCATGGCCTTCCCAACCACCTGCACCTCCATTCACATCCTCATCCCTGTCCCCAGGCCCAGCCACCCACCTCTGGCACCTAGCTTCTCCCCAGCGAGGTGCGTGGAGGTAACCAGCGCCTGGAAGCGAGGGATGGAGCTGAACCTGCTCCACCGCTGCTTGCTGCGCCAGGAATGCCCCTTCCCTTCGCTCGGCCGGCGCCCTGCGTTTGATATTGCAGCTGGAAAGCGGCGGCACTGACCTCTGGCCCCTGAGCTGGGGTTTGGCAATGCAGTGGGTAAACTGCTGCAGCAGCTCCGGCAGCTCCCTGTTTGCACAGGCGCTCGGGGACGCGCAGATCAAAGGGCTCCGCATGAGTAACAGCGGCCCAGCCCTGTACTTTGTTCACGTTCCCCCGTCTGCCTTTCACAAGAGGCTGCCTCTGCCTGCCTGGAGGGCTCGAAGGGCTGGGTGGGAGGACGTGGGTGACCCCACAAGGTCCTCCAGGCAGTGTGCTTTGACCTCACCAGGGTGGCATGTACACTCACTGGGGTGGGTCTCAAAGCTGTCCTCCTCAGACCACAGCAACTGGTGGGCTGTGGAAAGCCATCCCACTCCTAATCCTAGGGGAGACCTGCAGCCCAGGCATCGCCTGAGCTTCTCCCTGATGAATGTGGGGATGGAGTCCAGGGAGAACAATGTGTATGGGAGCCGGGCCCATAGGCAGCCCACGGCTGGTGCAGCCACGGTGAGGAGTGGAGACCTGCAGAGGTTTCTGCTGTCCTGGGACAGGAGGGTTGTGCATAGCAGTCAGCAGGGCTAATGGGGCTGCAAATCCCTCCCCAGCAAATCCAGCTCTGAAGCAAAGGGGCACACAGCACAGACAGCTGAGGAATGTTTAGGTTTAGGGGTTGCTGTGACTGGAAGCCCACCAACTAATTTGCCTCCACAACTATAAGGAGAAACTGTTCATGAACCATAGAGCTCTAGCAAGAGCAGGCACAGCAGCTCAACAGAAGTACAGAAACCAAGGTGTAAATTATTTTCTCAGTCTAAGCAGCAGGTGCTTACTTCTCCGGTGAAGACCCAGGGAGGCAGGTACATATCCAAATGGTAGGTGTTAATACAGATGTACAATACAAAATATCCACTGAAGTTTCTGTTCTTTTGGACAGGCAAAGCTGGCAGGGGAGCGTGGAGCCCGTGCGATCCTCTTTGACATTACCGATGATGAAAGTGCTGCTGATCAGGTACAAACCCCATTGATATTATCAGCTAAACCAGAGTGCCCCTGTCCCCTCCCAAAATGTGCACAGGTCAGGACACACCAGCCACCAACACGCAGCAAGAGGTCCCAGGAGGATACTGCAGGCTGGCTTTGAATGTTAGCTCCTACCCAGCTCATCCATGCACACAGACAGTGCCTTTCTCTTTTGCTCACTCTGTGGCACGTCCAGGTCTCCACACAGCACAAGCAGGCCAGCACCTTGTGCACGGCACCTTCCTGCCCTCCAAGGACATTGTCTGGTCAGTTGAGCTTTTCTGCCAGGAGCTGGACGCTTCCTCTTGGGAAGTCACAGGTTACCCGATCCCATCTAGTACAGACAGCCCTGGTGTACCACAGGGGAAAGACGATTTCTTGAGTTTTCAAGCCAAAGTCATGGCCACCCTGCTATGCTGTTGGTGATACTCCTACTGTAAATTTAATATTGATTTAGAGACCTCCAGAGGTCCCTTCAACCATCATCTCTGGAAAGGAATAGGTTCCCCATCAAAATAGTCAAGGGATAGTGAAAAGCATCCAGCATTAGATAAGAAGACAGGTAGGGGAGCTGGTGCCTGAACTTATCAAAACTCCAGGCTGACTCTTGCTTGCTGGATCCATCCCTTGTGGTTCTTTCATGCACTTACAACTTAATTTCTGATGCTTGAGAAAAGCAGCAGCAAGTGCAGGCCCATGAGGGGATGCTGAGGTTGCTCAGTAAGGGTATGGGAAGTGCTTAGTGGCTGAGGGCCTCGCTGGTACAGGTCAGTCTGGAGGAGAGGGCAGTCTTGGACACTTTCCAAGCCACCCATGCCAGGCTGTCTGGACTGTGGTGGAAAACTGCCAGTCTGATCAGAAACAAACTGAATGTCCTGCAGATCACAGAGGGAAGGGGGGACACTGATGGGTCTCACAGGTAGAGAAGAGGAAGCATTTCTGTAGCGAAGGCAGCACTTGGCAGTGTTGTTGGCATTTATCACATGGAAGAGGAGAGACCAAGAACTTTTGTGCAGAGGCTTGAAAGAGGAGCACAAGAGACACTGAGCAGTGTCCAGCTGTGCGTGAGGAGGCACAATCAGAGGAAATCAAGATAGTCATGCTGAAAAGTTAGTAAAAGAGAAGGAGCTTGCATCTAATTTCATCATAAAGGGACAGTGCAATTTTGGGGGAGTAGTCAGCCTGATGCAAGAAGCATCAGGAGGAACCAGACGTGCCTAGGGGGCCAGGATAGTCTTTGTTTCAGGTTGTTCTGGACCATCTCTCACTGAGTTTGTTTCTTTACAGCTGAGGAAGCCCAGAGGTCTGAGTCAGCCTGTGGTTCTGATCAGGGGCCACGATGCTGAACTTCTCATGGGTGTCGTGAACAAGAACAGAGAGGCCCATGTGAAGATAGAGGTCAAGGAGCCACCAGCTTGGGTGAGAGACACACCATTCGCACTGTCTTCTGTATCCCCCCTCCCAAGCTGCTGTGCCACAGAATAGAACTTTCCCAAAGATGCTGAGCTTTCCTCCCCAGGGGCACAGATCCCAGTCCTTTGCAGGAGCTGCCTGTCTGCAGCATTCAGATGACATGCTGCAAATAAAGGCTCAAAAGTGATTTCAGCTGATTTAGTTTCTTTTGCTTAAATGTCGTGAGTGAGGCAAGGGGAATCCCTGTCTCTTCAGGTGAGACTCAGCCTTGATTGTCTCATCTTGTCCCTTAGACCATGGCTTCTAGGGAGTTGAGATGCTGCAAGACAGAGAAATTTAATTCCTGCTGTCACGTGCAAAAAAGACTGAGGCCTTTTTCTTTTACCTGTAAAGAGCAAGGAGGTAAAGCTTGGCCAAGGATCATGTATTCAAAAGCTGATGGCCAGGAAGAGACCAGGATTCCCCTGCCTAGACTTTAATTCCCACCTCTGCCACACAAGAGTAATTTCTTTCCTGTTTTATCCAACAGCCAGACTACGACGTGTGGATTCTTCTCACAGTGGTCAGCACTGTGGTGGTCATCATTTTGATTTTTGTTGTCCGCACAAAGTGCCAGCTGAACAGGACTCAGGTAGGAATCTCATGGAGCAGATGTGTCTGAGCAAACAGAAACATGAGAAGCGCAGGAACAGACACAGTTTGGGAGGGGAAATGTGCTTCTGTGTGAACTGAAGATGTGACCACATGAGCCAGGAGCAGCCCAGGGATGAGCAGAGTGATCCTGAGCTGGGCTGGCAGCATCCTTCGTGCAGTGGCCTTGCTCTCCGGCTGCCTGCAGTCCCAGCACCTTTCAGAGCTTGTCCCAGCACTCAAAGCTGCAGAGCTGGCCCACAAGCTCTTGATTTTAACAGTATCATCTGTATTGGTAGCAATTAGAAGATCTAGTATTTTTTAATAGAAACTAACAAATTAAATAATCATCTTTCTAGAGTCAGATGTATTTCCAGATTTGAGAATACCCCATTTGTCCTATAGAAAGACAAGCCTTTGGGGCTCAAAAATTCCGCACTGCTGAGTGATTTTGAATGTCCAGCGCCAGATGTCTTCTGCTGGTGACAAAGCCTACTCTGGCTAAGTCAGGTTAGACAAAAAGTCACCTCTGGGAATGAGTATTGCCTCCCAGATTCAAAAATGGAAGGGCAATGAGAAATATGGCAATGTAAGGCCGAGCCTCTCCTTAAAGCCTCCTCTCTCCCTGGCAGGACTCCTTGCAGCAGCAGACCATGCAGGCCATCGGGCAGCTGGCCACGCGCAGGTACCAGTCTCGGTGCCGGCAAGCGTCGCAGTGGGATTCGGCCAGCAGCTGCAGCTCAGCCCCAGTCTGTGCGATTTGCCTGGAGGAGTTCAGCGAGGGCCAGGTAGGCTGCGGGCACGGCCGCTGGTTAGCCAGGGCTCTGAGCTTCCCAGCCACAGTCAGGTGGGAGCTGCGGTGGGAGCTGAGCCGTCTGACAGGGGTCAGAGGCCCTTGGGATGTTTCCCACAGCAACTCCTGAGGGCTGGGAAAGGATTGGCATGGATGGAAGTCTGCCTGCCCCTTGGCTAAAAAAGCCCTGCCCCTGCTGAAGTCACTTGCCTGCAGATTCAGATTCCCTGAAGACAGGTCTCCAACTGTTGCTGTAGGGTAAAACGTCCGTGCTGAACCAACGGGACAAAAGTGGGTTTTGCTTCTCCAAAGCACTCAGCCTGAAAGCCCCCTATTCCTAAGGGCTAGCACCTCTCTGGACATTCACACCCCAGAGCTGGACACGGCAAGCAGGACCAGAGCTTCCCAGCTGCTGCACAGCCTCCTCCATGCAAAGCTGGGCTGCAAATCGCTCGCTGTTAGACATCTTCCCATCTTACAGGGCTCGCTTCCATCAAGAAGGACCCATCCACAGTTCTCCTTGCTCATGCTCCTCCTCTTCTCTCTACCTCTCTCTAGGAACTGCGGATCATCTCGTGCTCCCATGAGTTTCACCGGGAGTGTGTTGATCCCTGGCTGCAGCAACACCACACGTGTCCGCTTTGCATGTTCAATATTCTTGGTAGGGCTCAGACGCAGCATTTCCCAGCCAGGGATGGGGTTGGCTGCAGGGGTTGTGCCCAGGAGGTCCATGCACCCTTGGGCAATGCACACAGTCGGTGCATCAGCAGGAGCGTGTGTCTCTGCGCACGTGGGTGTACGGGGCAGTGTGTGCAGCGAGAGGGGTCCCTGTGCGTGTGAGCCCCTGCGAGGTGCTGGGCTTGGGCTGGGACCCGCACCAGGAGGAAGGGTTTCCAGTCCTGGGACCTGCAGGAAAGGGAGGTGGGATCTGAGGGTCGGGGCAGCAGGGAGGGCGCTGAGTGTGCAGGACCATCAAGGTGGTTTGGTTGTGGCAGTGAGGGGTTACAGGGCACGAGTGGGACGTGGGACCATAGTGGGAGTGCAGTGGAGGCTCGCTGGTGCTGTGGCTACTGCAGCGGGGCTGTGGGACGTATGCTGGATGCTTCTTTCTCTCTCCGCAGCCAGAGACTCGGTGGACCAGGCCACAGCCCCTGGCTCCAGGCTAGCCCCCCGGGACATGGAGCCTGGACGGCGACTCCACCTTTTCCGCCAGCACCCGGGACATGCCCTTTACCACCTCCCACACGCGTATCCTCAGAGGAACCTCAGGAGCTTTCCCCCGGAGCCAGCCCATGGCAACCCCTTCTTCCACTCTCCAGAGCTCTCCCAGCTGGATTTTGGCACCATCCACTACATGCCCTACAGGCCAGCCACCTCCCTGCTAGCCTGCGGCCACCCGTCCCCCCTGGCCCCAGGCTTGCTGGGCCAGCAGCACCCCAACCCCTCGGCGTGCGGGCAGACGCTGCCACCCCACAGGACTTGTTCTCTCCAGCCCCAGCCCCCCTGCCTGGGGCTCAAGGCAGCCCTGGCACAGAAGCAGCACCGTGCACCCGCCCTGCGCCGGGGGGTCAGCCACGGGCACCAGCACAACAGCAGTGGCTCTGGGGAGAGCTATCTCACGGACCACAGCGGGTACCTGGCAGACGGGCCAGGGAGTGACTCCAGCTCGGGGCCCTGCCATGGTTCCTCCAGTGACTCCATGTTGAACTGCACGGACGTCAGTCTGCAGGGCATCCACGGCAGTTGCTCTACTTTCCGCAGCTCCCTCAGCAGCGACTACGACCCCTTCGTGTACTGCAGCTTGGAGGGACCTGCCATGGACAACAGCCAGGAGCAGCCGCGGCTGCTGAGGGAGACACGGCCAAGGTCCTTGGACCTGATGGTGCCCGGGGGTGCTGCTCCAGCCAAGCCCCAGGTGCTCAGCCACGTCCACTACCACCACCACCAGCACCATCACTACAGAAGAGACACAGAATGTCCACCCGGGCCGGCCGGGCAGGTGCCTGGGCAGCGCAAATCCCGGTACTCTGGGGCCAAGGTTGGCTTCAAGGGTCCTCGGACACAAAAGAGGACTGAGAAAAGCCATCACTGTCAGCAGCCTCTGGAAAGCAGCGCTGGGCTACAGGAGGCAGCTTCGGCAGGACAGCCAGCCTGTCCCCAGCAAGGCCGGGAGCCCCCTCATGCCCCTTCCACTTCTCCAAACAGGTTGGACTTCAGTGTAGGTGCCAACAGACAATCAGGAGCAGCTGGCACATCCCCTGTCCCGCTGCCCCCGAGACACAGCTTACAGAGCCGTCATCACCGAAGGAAAAGAAAGTGTCCCCTGGAGCCTGACCCCACTCTCCTGCCTGAGGACTCAGCCTTGCCCAAAGCCTGTGACGCTCACGTTCCTCACGGCCATCCCGCTGGCTACCGCTGCTCGCCCGAAGTCCAGCCCCTGATCCCAAGCGCTCCCCTGCCCTGCGGCTCGGGCTCTCGGCCGCTCTGGAAGTGTTTAGTGCCGCAGTCCGGCTCAGAGCTGAAAAAGCAGGAGGAGGGGTTGTCAGGACGGGAGGGGAACTGCACGGTTCCTGCTGATTTCTCAGGGACGGGCACCCCCAGGCACAGTCAGAGTCTTCACCTTCACGGCCCGTCTCAGCAGGGTAGTCAGGGTAAGTCTGGCGTTTGCCTCTTCTCGCAGCGGGCCGGTGAATGAGGGCAGTTCACTGAAGGTGCTCTGGCTGCCAGTAGACCTGACACCTCCACAATGGGCTTTCCTACAGGACCACTGACAACAGAAGCATTTCAGACCTCACCTGTCTGGAGATGATAGCTTGAATGATAAGCAAATCTGTTAATGAGTACACCAGACCCTGCAGTCTTAAAATAATACAGATGAGAAATTAGGTAGCTATTTCTAACTAAACATCTCTAGCAGCTGGAGTATCTCACAAAGGAAGAGGTGGGACCACATTTCTCAGTGTCCTTACATCAGTCTTGATGTCTTACTGGCAAAGTCATTATCCTTAAGGCTTATTGGGCTCTAGTTGTTTTAGTCAACCCCAGCTAACTGACCAGTGGTAGTAGAGTGGACAAAATGAGTTTATGGATTTGCACATCCCTTCCCTTGTTTCTCACCTTCCTCTGTTGCATGGGAATCACTTTTTAGTGTCTTTTGGAAAACAGACGTAGTTAAAGTTTGGCCCTTTGCCTAACTGCTGTACGTCTCTCACTGAGAGAGGGAAGATGTGTTTGAGATGGTGCTGTTTGAAAGAACCTAACTGAGTTTAGCTTCCAGGTCTGCTCTCTCAGGTTCCTCTGAATACAGCAACCTGCGAGTCAGCATGGGCAGGTGCTGGCTCCGGGCAGAGCCTGGCTCCCTTCCTCGCCCTGCCACTGACTCATTGCAGGTCCTCAGGCAAATCGTTTTGATTTAGGTACCAAAAACAGATCTAGCCGCCTAATTTCTGTTAAAATGCTGGCCTTAAACTCATGACTCACCATGCCCATTGTGCTGCAGAGATAATAACTTCCTCCCCACTCTTGTCTATCCAGCCCTACACCACACCCAGGCAGCAGGGAAGGGGGAGAGGCTGGATGGGGCACGGTGCTGGCTGCCTGCGGCACTCTGGGCTCCCAGACTCCCAGGAACAGATTTATTTTTTTCCCAGGCACAGAAGTGCCTGACACTGCAGATAGGTGATACGAGAGGTTCTTCAAAGGCCCCGGAGGGATGCTACCATTTCAAGAGATAAGGAGGCAGCAGTGTAGAGATGTCCCTCTGGTTTGCAGGTAGCTCTGAGTGCTGATGTCCCCTGAGTCGGAGGCAGTGGGCAGCAATATTGCCAAGACACAGCCCTCCCAGGATCACAGCAAGGGACCTCCACATGGAGAGAGCCCTCCTGGCATGAGGGCAGGCTGCTCAGGAGGTGCTTTGAGCTCCCATTTCCAAATGAAACTGGGAGGACTCCACAGGGCACCAGAGTTGGAGTCTGTGCACCTAACGCGGGGCACTGGGTGCTGCAGTGTCCAGGGCGTTGCAGGGGTCCATGCTGTGATGTCTGTCCGTAAGGTGGTCCCAGCAGCCCGGATCTGTGCCCGCCTCCTGACAGCGTGATGGGGGAAGGCTCTCTGACACCCACCCAGAGCCAGTGCCAGCGTGCTTTGCCAAGCACACACAGCCCTCGCTGCCTCTTACCTCCCTTTACTGGGAGCTAGAAGGACCAGTGTGTATGAAAGCAGTGTGACTATTTGCAGTAGCTTCTGTGGATACTTTCAGGACCAGAGTCAGAATCTCCCTGTGAGATTGAGAAAATACATAGAAATAAAGGATTTAACTTTATTAGGAACTGAGGACATTGAAGAAAGCTGGAGCTCAGACAAGGCTTATGCAGAAAAGCCATCAGGCTGAAAACGTGTTGGTTGACAACATAACTTATCAGTTCTTTATCTTGGAAAGGGACTGGACATAAATCAATAGAGAACGAGTAAAGAGAGCAAAGAACACTCTCAATAGACAGTCCCATGTAAGCGGGACACAAAAAATAGATAAGGAGACCAAGGAGAAATGCATACATGCCTCTAGATAAATGTTGTAAGGCTAAAAATATAAGTGGATGAATTAGAAAGCCCAGCTTTAAAGTTTTGACATAAACTTTTTAGAAACCCAGTTTAAAAAAAAAAAACAACAAAAACAAAAAACAAACAAACCAACAACAAAATGTGCGACCCTGTAATTCCTAGGTGAAATTACAGAGAGGAGAAGAGTGTGTCTCTTTTGGTGTCATGGGAGAGACACTATGCATTAAGGAGAGTGTAAAGTCCAATGACAAGTAACACAAAAATCCCCAATTGCACCTAAGTAGGAGGAGTATGGTATTAGGGTTATAATACACTGCATTAGCACAGACTGCAAAAGAGGAGCCTACATATACATGAGAATCTTCTTCAAATAATACTAAAAGAAGCAGTCAAAAGAATAAGATGCTTTTGGGCACAGGGATCATTTAAAGCCCCAGAAAAGGGCTGGCCAAGCAGCAGAGTAGAGAGGGCAATTAGAAGCGAGAAGCTGTTCTTCCAAAGCAAAGGTGTGGCTAGACAAATCCGAAAAGAGTTGGATGCAAAGCTAAATGCAGAGCCATGGTGAGCAGGCCAGGAAAGATTTCTATGAACAACTTGTGAAAAAGAAAGAGACTATTAATGCAAACATTTTCAACTCCATCAGAAGGAAGAAGGCTGCCAGAGGCCCTGCAGGTCCAGGGAGTAATGCAGGTCTAAGAGGGATGTTCAAGGGCTGTAACTGCATAGCAGAAGAGCAAACTGAATTTATTGCATTAGTGATCAGTGTAGAAGTGCTTGAGGAGGTTCTCACCCTGGCACATCTTCATGCAGGGCATGGAGTAGAGGATCCCTCATAAATCAAATAATCAGTTTGAATGTTTCTGAAACGTATCAGTAAAGTGGATGGTAACAAATTGCCAGGGCTACAGATCACTCACTTGGGCATCATGCAGGGGCACAAGCACAAAACTGCTAAATCACAAACGTGGACTGCAATCTGCTACCCATGCTCAGAGCCAGAGGAAGAGCTGAGGGCAACATCAGCCTGAAATAGCTGAAGCTACAGAACGATGAGCCTGACTTTCCTGCCAAGCAAATTGTTAAAAATTCAAATACAGGGTCTGACTTGCAGGCACATGGCTAAATGTGAAAACCAGGGGAGGAGGCAATACTACTTTTGTAGAGAGAGATAACACCTCGCAAATCTCTTAGGGGAATGAAGCTCTCAAAGGATAAAAGGGAAGGTGCTCTTATAGGTAAATAACTCACTAAAAAATAGGAGACAAAGTGCAGATCAGTCTTAATGGAGGAAAGTTACTTGGAGAAGGAGGCAAGTGGAGTTCTTCAACTGTCTGCACCTTTCAGCAAGCTCATATTCTGGATGAAGAGGGGAGATAGCAAAGTTTATAAAAGTCAAAATCCTTCAGTATTGTCAGCTTTAAAACTGGTTACAGAGTGTTACAGAAGGATCTCCTGTTGCGGAGTTATCGGGCAATAGTCTGGTGGATGAAATCCCATGTAAGTAGCACAAAATGCCAGACACGAGCAGAACCGCTTCTAAGTATTTAAATTATTATTAGGAGCTACCAGGGACCAAATGAGAGACAAGCAGAAAGTGCCATTATGCAGCTGTGTAAGTCTGTGGTGCTTTCGTAGCCAGCATCCACCACTGATCACTGCTTCTCAAAAAAGGATATAGCAGACCTGGGAGAAGTACAGAAAGGTATCAAGCACAGTCACAGCGATGAGGTTTCTCTGAGAAAGCAGAAAGAATATAGAGACTTTATTGTGGGAAAAAGATGTTTAGCAGAGGATATGAAAGAGAAGATGTGAAATCAGGAGAGCAGGGGAGAAGGCAGATAAGGGAGACTCGCTGGTGCTCATAACAAAACAAGTGATGGCATCAAATGGGAACCAGAAGCTTTAAAACACCCAATAAGGTAACACACGGTGTGTAGTGAAACTGGTGCTCATTGCCAGAGGATGTAGGTGCCAGAAGTAAAATGGGTTCAAGAGCCTAGATCAAGAGCTATCAAATGCAGAGATGCAAATACCCTCTTTGGCTCAGGAAGTCCCTAAACCAGGGTTTCCAGAAGCTGACAGTGCTCCTGTGGGATGCAGCACCCTCCAGGTGTGTGCTTACCTCACCCAGCAGCAAGGTGAGGCTGAATCTTGGTCCACAGCCCCAGGAGAAGCTCCACTTGTGCTGGCAGTGCCATGCACCGGCATCGCAGGGAATAACGCTGCCCGCAGCCATCACCAGGGCACTGCAGATGATCCCCAAAGAAGCTTGCATGGCCTTGGAGTTTATGCAGCTTCCCTGAGCACCTCCACCAGCTTTTTTTGGTGGGGTTTGCATAAAGATACATCCCTACCTCTCTTGCCTGGGAGACTATACCTAGTTGTTTCACTGAAGAATCAATCCTCAAGCAATGCTGAATGGATCCTTTTAAGAGAAGTCAGACAACTAGCAGTGTATTACAGCTAGATGGCTTCCTAAACCACCCCAGCACACACGGATCTTGTCCCAGAACAGCCAGATTACTCCCAGCACAGGCTGATGAAATGTCTTGATTTTTCTCTCTGGGAAATCTTTCCTCCTGCAGCACGCCGTCAGCATCCTCCCTCTCTCCTCCATCTCCTGCTCATCCTTTTAGCCATTCCCTTTCATGTCATGTCTTTGATCTTTACTAGAGAGGGGGAAAGGAATTATAGGGCAGAAAAAGACCACCATTAAAACCTAATACCCAAAGACCGTGATTTCTGTGTAGCACCAAGGTGTGCTCCTTCAGGTCGTTGCCCTGTGTGGGTCTCGACGGCCAGTTCAGCAGCTGAGGCTCTACCACCTCTCCCAGTTCAAGACCTTTTTTTAATCTTCCTTTCTGTTTGTGTAACAGAGGACATTCACACAGGCACTATTTTCAGAAAATGTTTTAATAATGCTATTTGAGACTTGGGGCATCTGACTGATCACAGAGTGATCGAAGCTGTACAGTTTCTTTTGCGTTGCACATAAGCTGGTGTACATGAGAAGCAGTTGGCAATGGCTTATGCAACGTACCGGTGACAGAAATCACAAATGCCAGATACACTCAAACTCTGTCTTCTGGTCCTTTGGCCATGCCTGCACACATATGTATATGTATAACACTGTCTGTGCATTAATTTTCCCACGTCAACTAGCTACATTTTCAAAGCAGAATCTTACTTGTTTTCTTCCCATAATTTTCAGAGGTCCTGTTCCTACAGCTGGTGATTTATAACAAACAAGAATTTGTTGTGGCTGTTTTGAAAAGTTGTTTAGAATTGCTCTCTCTGAATATATATATGGGCATTTGTTTCCTTTTGATTTCATGAACATTCAGGAAGAGGGAGATGTGTAAAATTATGCATGTATGCCTTCACTGGGCTGTGCTGAGCTTGTGTGAGAGCTCTGGGCAGACTTGAGAGACATTTGGGAAAGGACCATGGTGTGTGCATCAGCACTCAGCCAGAGAGAAAGGGACTATCTGACACTGTAACTCAGGGTGCACCATTTCTAGGCAGCCCTTATGTTGAATGTTTCCAAGTAAACTACTCAGCACTTGCCTGTCAATAATTCACCAGGCAGAAGGGCTTGGTGAAGAGCATGAGCTGCAGTCCTTGCTAGCCGGGCATGAGGGACTGGCATTTGTGGCCAACTACCACTCGTTGGGTTTGGCTTGTTTGGGACTCAGGAGCAATTTGTGTGACCTCTTGAACACCATGAAACGCATGTGCAATCCTTTTCTTGCATGCACACATCACTTGCAGTCTGCTTTTGTTGTCTGTAGTTTCTGTTGTTGTCCCCTGTCCCTGAAAGGTGCTGCCATGGCACTGTGTGAATATGAATCAGTGTTATTTTCTGTCTCTAATAATTTTTTAAATGGCTGTACAGATTTTCCTCAAAGAGCAAACATCAAAAAGCCTGAAAAGCAAACATCTAGTAGCAATGTGAATCCTGCAGGGCACCATGCCCTTAGCCTGTATCTTCTGAAATATTTAAAGAGTAGCTTGATGTCTTATCTTTCTGTTTTACTGTGCTTTAACTTAGAGGAATAAACTGATTGGGGGTGGGGGGTGGGGGGTGGGGGTGGCCAGAAAAGTCCTTCCAAAATACTGGGAGAAACTTAGTGGCTTTAACTGCAGCATCTGTTCTCTGTATTGCAGGGTCAAGGCCCCAGCACCTGCAGAGTCCAGGAATGTTCAGCTACTTGTAGCTGACACTTTTTCCTTTTTCTTTGAATGTAGGATCTGAAGAGGAGGTCCAGGATGTCCATGAGCACTCAGTTTAATAAAACACTGGTCTGTTTGCTTACTGGAGAGCTGGAATGGACAAAGATGTTCAGCATACCAGCCGTAGAGGAGCTCACATTTTGCTCTCTGCCCAGGCAATGTGTGATAACCAGCCCTGACCTGCATGGCCCACGCCAAGGTGCAGACTGAAAATAAGCAATGTGACACTTGTGGTCTCCTCACACGTTCCCACGTTGCGATGGTCACACAAACACAGAGCCGTGTTCTCCAGGTCCCCTTCTCCTTTGAAGGCACAGATGGCCCATCTTCATCCCGTGGCATCTACCTGCATGGGCTGGCTCGTTCAGAGACCGGTCTTGGGAGTCACCGTCTGGAGAGTTTGTGGAGTGAGTGCAAGCTGCTATTTTGGCATGTTCATGCCACAGAAGGTTTTGCTAAACACTTCAAAAATAAACAAGCCTGCAAGACCAAAAGCTGCAGAAATTACTTTCTGTGGCCTGGTAGCTCCTGACTTAATTTCCTCACTTAGGTCAAAAGCCAGACTTCTTCATTTAACTTTTCCACTCTTATTTCAGACACAGGAACAAGCTATTCTCCATCTCACCACTCACAGATCTGCCCTGCAAGGTGCTGCTTCTGACCTCACTGAAAACCAACAGCTCTCACCACTTTTGATCACTTCACTATCCCTCAGTTGATGCCATCTCAGCCATTTGCTGCATTTTGCCAGCAGCAGGAGAGGTGAAGACACAGAGACAATATCAGCATTTCTGGGAAGGAGCTGGGTCAGACTCTTTCCATTGCAAGGAATCCACCCTCTCATCTGGCAATGTGAACAAGTCTCTCACTCATCCTCTAACTGCTCTGCCTACCCTCAATATAGGTGTGATGGCCAGCCCTGTTAAAATCAGTTCATTTGTTGAGCGTATTTCAAACCTGAGATGCCCCCATCACAGGAGTCATGGAAAATCCTTGAGTTCCATGGCTCCTGCTTCTCTCCTTCCTCTCTCATTGCCCCAAGACACAGCAGAAATTCCCAGCAAAAGCATCCATAATGCAGAGCAGAGCCCCATCCGTCACCTAGCCTTATCTTCATATTTCTGAGACACTGGAAATGACCCTGCGAAGGAATTTTTCAAAATACCCTTCTGCCTTTTCTAACTTTCTGATGGTAGAGAGATAAAACTTGAGAATTGCTAGGCTCTCAGTTTATTACTTTTTTTCACTCCCATTTTTGAGTTTTGTTTTTTTTTTTTTTTTTGAATGTCACTAGTTCTTATTTCCTACATCTCATGATTTAGGGACGTTCGAGTAAAATAAACCTGTCACATTCAAAACATAGAACCCAAACAGTTTTCATACAGCAGGGAAATAGGCTGTAGAGTTCACTGCTCCACATGATCATTCAGGCCAAAGAATTAGCCAGATTCCCACATTAAGTGCACATCTATATTGCACCAAGTGTTTCTAGAGTTAATGCTATTGAAGCATTGGTGAGGATACAACACTGGAGCTGAAGGTAACTCCTGACAATTTGAAACCTGGTGTAGGGGCAGACTTCCCCCATCTGTTCAGTGCTCAGTAAGCTTTCTGTGTCTTCCTTTTAAGCAGCAGCTTATTCTCTAGTTCAAGAGAGTGCACTGGTTATGTAGTCCCAGTTCAGGATAATCCTGCCTCAGCCTGCCTTCATTGTTGAGGAAAAGTTTTTACAGGGTTTGCTGCCTTCAAAAAAGGCATCTTTGTCCCAGCTGCTAATCAGTCATTGACATTCAAGTGATGGTAGTAAAAGTCAGCCAATAGCTCTGTTCTAAACAAAACATTATTCCCTTGCTAGCGTTCATTTCTTGTCTCTTGTGGCCATTGCAGGACCTTTCCGTCTAGAGAAGAGCTGAATTTCTTTCATCAAAGAAACCAGCAGAATTATATTTTAACCTCTCCAGACTCTTCTTCCTTGTCCTACAGAGCAAGCAGAAGACATAAGCTCAGATGTTTTCTCCCATACAGGGAAGTTAGTCTTAAACTAGAGGAAAAAAACCCAGGAGCATGTCTAAATTCCCCCTGTTCAACTTCTTGTGCGCGTGGTCCATGGCTTGTCTCAACCAGATCCCTACATCTTTGACCATCCTGGAATGCTCAGATGACTTTACAGAGGGGAGGGTCATGAAGTCCAGGTTCCCCCCCTGGTTTCTTTAGGAATCAAGGCGTCTGAGAGCCTCCAGGGATGCATTTCGCTGCCTCAAAGGAACGAGCGTCTAGTCTGCAGTCTAAAAGTCCTCCTCTCTTTCCCTCCTCATCTTTAAAAAAAAGGAGGGCTCTGAATCTGCAGCAAGCCTCAAGCTTCTTGGAGAAAGTGGTCAGCACTAACGCACCCCTTCCACTCCCTATTGCAGTATTACCAGCTGTGCAGGGCAATGCCTGCTTTAAAGTGTTTTCTTTTCCTGATGTTATGTTGCTGCTCCTTTTCATTTAGAAAACAGCCATCCTCAATGCTGGGCCCCCTCCCCGGGGGTTGCTGAGCTGAGTGAGAGTGTGCAGGTCTGCCTTGGTGGGTTCTCAGGTGGGAGGAGAGGGAAGAACTCTCCAGGAAGGTGGTTTTTAAGATCCTCTTCAGTAGATGGACTACCATCCTTGGCTGCCTGGAAGGGAAGAAGCACTATCTGAGAAAACGGGGAACAGCTCATCTCAGTTCCTGCACCTCTTGCTTCTGGGTGATGCTTTTGAGTGCTCAGTACCCTTGGGCTCCATCACCGAGTTTCTTCAGCATCACCGCAGTGAAGCGGAGCTAATTTTCCTTCATTGCATCCAAAGTCCCAGCTGTAAACGGATGGAGGCCAGAGCATCCCAAACTCCTTCTATCCAAAACCACATCACCAGCCCTTCACCTTCCCAGGACCTCTCCCCCCACCAAGATGGGTACTGCGGGCCGGGCTGGCCGGACCTCCTGCACAGATCCTCTGCTCTCCCTTTTGTAATGTTCAGATCCTTTTGAAATGTGAATATAGGTTTGGTTTTTTTTGTTGTTGGTTTTTGTTTTGTTTTGTTTTGTTTTTCTGAGTCTGTCCTGGCTCTTGGGGCTTGGGAATAAATTATGACACACACACACACCCCCCCCAGAAAAAAAAAAAAAAAAAAAAAGACTACGTTTTATATAAATGCAAAACTGTGTATTTATGTCCGATAGAAACAAAGATGTGTGAATATGCTGATGTGCTCAGAAATATATTTATTTACTAATATATTTATCCATGTACCCTGTCTGCTCGCCTGGTTTTGTTCTTTGTACCGAGCCGCCGGGGCCGCGCTGCCGCAGCCGCCTCCGCCCGGCGCCGCGGAAATAAACCGCGCGGAGGCGGCGGGGAGCGCGGCTGCGGCCGGGCCCGCTGCCCCGGGAGGCCGCGCCGGGGCCCGCGGGGCGGCGCTGCCCGTCACCGGGGCCGCGGAGCCCGCCCGGGCCGCGCTGCCGGCCCCGCCCCGCCCCGCTCCGCCCCGCCCCGCTCCGCCCCGCCCCGCCCCGCCCCGCTCCGCCCCGCCCCGCCCCGCTCCGCCCCGCCCCGCCCCGCCCCGCCCCGCCCCGCTCCGCCCCGCCCCGCCCCGCTCCGCCCCGCCCCGCTCCGCCCCGCCCCGCTCCGCCCCGCTCTGCGCCTGCGCGGCGGAAGCGGCGGCGGCGGGATGGCGCTGGAGACCGTCCCCAAGGACCTGCGGCACCTCCGCGCCTGCCTGCTCTGCTCCCTCGTCAAGGTGCGACCGGCGCCGCTCCCCGCCCTGGGTCTCTCTCCGCCCGGCCCGGGCCCCTCTCCCCAGCCTCCCGCCTGGCTCCGGCCTCCCTCGGCCTGCGGGCGCTTCCCCGCCTTCCCCCTGGCTCCCGCCGGCCCGGCCCGGCCCGGCTCTCCCCGCCCTTGCGGCCTCCCCGCTCCCGGCTGGGCCCCGCGCTGACGCCTCTTTCCCCCCCCCCCCCCCCCCCCCCAGACCATTGACCAGTTCGAGTACGACGGCTGCGACAACTGCGATGCCTACCTGCAGATGAAGGGCAACCGGGAGATGGTCTACGACTGCACCAGCTCCTCCTTCGACGGGTGAGTGGGGCCCCGGCCGGCTGCGTCCCCCGGGGTGCCGAGGGGACACCGTGGTGGCACCCGGCCGGGACATGTCCCCTCACTCCCGTCCCTCCCGCAGGATCATCGCGATGATGAGCCCTGAGGACAGCTGGGTCTCCAAGTGGCAGCGGATCAGTGAGTGGGTTTTTTTTCCTAGCCGATGTGGGAGCTGGAGGCGCCTTTTTCTCCAGCAAACCCTTCTCTGGGGCAGTGGGGGTTCCTGCCGGGGCTGGTGGGGATGCTTGCCTGCCCGGCTGCTGCCCTGTGGGGTAACTCAGTGTTTTCTTTCCCCCAGGTAATTTCAAGCCGGGCGTCTACGCAGTGTCTGTGACCGGCCGCCTGCCCCAAGGTTTGTGTTAAGGGGAGGCTCCTGCACAGGTGGCAGCTGAGGGATTATTCTGTACATTAGGTGTTGGGGCTGTAGCCACCTCTGAGGTGACAGAGAGGCGCGTTGTGCTGTACCTGTGTGATGAAATCGGGATTCGGGGGTTCAGTGAACGCTGTGTATTGTGAACAGTGTACACGCCGTGTGGGTGAAGGGATTTTTCGGGGTTCTGCAGAATGCTTTTCTACCTGCCGTCATTCACCACTGTGCCTGCCAGAAGTTGATATTGAAGATGCTGCTGACTAAAACATGTGACACCAGACAGGTTATCAGAGACATAAACTCTGATTAAAGGGCGACTCCAGAAAGTGGGCACATTTCAAACTGTTCAGCTACGGGGAAACATGAAGGTTTGCCCACAGAAAAGAGTTTTGCAGAATGGAGTGTTGTTACGGCAGTCTCAGTGAGCAGATACCCATTTCTGTCATCATACCGTGCTGAGTGCTTGCATTAAGATGGGTTTTGTGTGTTTATAAACAGAGTGAAGGGAGTAGAGGGTTGGCCTTATCTCTGTAATGCAGAAACTGCATGATCTGTCTAGCCAAGAGCCTCTGCCCTGTACGTGGCCCCAGAGCAGACTCCTAACCCGGGAGTGCTGCAGTCCCGTATCCCCCAGGGTGAAAGCTCTGCTTGTGTCTGGAATCCCAGGCTCCTTACTTCTGACCTGAGCTCTGCCGTCTGCGTTGGGAAGGAGCTGGAACATCACGAGGCTTAGAGCCGGGGCCTGCCGCCGCAGCTTTGGGCACATCTGAAATAACTGGAGTGCAGCGGATGGTGGCGTGAGCTCGATGCAGCTGCGGGCAGGAGCACAGGGCAGCAGGCGGAGGGAGGACAGGCGGGAGGTGCTGTCTTCGGCCTCGCTCAGCCCATCCTCGCGTCGCGTCGCGTCACGGGGAGGAGCGAGAGGAGCGGGGAGCGGGTAACCAGCAGGCTGCACTCCTGGGCCGTGCAGGCTGCCATTTGGCTGCCCCTTGATGCGCGGCGCTGGTGAGAGCCGTGCTGAACCCCGTGGTGCTCTTCTGCTGTCCCTGTGCTTAAGGGGGCTAGTGAGAAAGTGGGACATGCCAGCAGGCCACAGAAGGGACTGAAAGATTTAAGAAATACCCTTAAGAGCTTGACGGGTTCAGTACAGTCCTAATATTCAAGCGTTTTCAGATAGGAAATAATGTAAATTAAAAAATCTACCTGGTTCTTTCCCAAGGCGAAGCAAGAGTTGATGTTTGGGAGCTCTATCTAGGCATTTAAACTAGAAGAGGGAACACTTAACAGTTCTATTAGAAGAAATGAAGATGATGATTGTCCAGTTCCCGATCTCTGCAATGAAGGCTACATAACAGAGCAACCAGATTTTTCCAGGACTCCTTATCCCTAGAGAATACTGAAATGTGTTTGTCTCCTTGCTGCAGGGATCGTCCGAGAGCTGAAGAGCCGTGGCGTGGCTTACAAGTCCCGAGACACAGCTATAAAAACCTAAGGGGCTCTTGTGCTGCCCGCAGGCTTCCCTGGTGCTGCATTCAGAGAGGCAGCGGGCACGCAGGGCTCTGCTCTGAAACCTTTTTGCTTTAGCATGTGGGAAAGCCAGCCCAGACTCAGAGGGAGCTTTCTGGCTCGGCTCTTCTCGCTCAATACCTCTGGACTCTGCCGTACGATGGTCTGGCCACACAGACCACAGACATTCTTTTGAGCCTTGACAAGGGGGGGAGGGTGTGAGTGGGTCTGGGAAAGTGGGGTTCAGCGGTGATGCACAAGCTTTTTTACAGCTGGTGTAGAAAAGAGGAGAGCTGGGATGTAGCTGTGTAAATACTTCAATAAAACATACTGCCTGGTCAGAGTTGAGTCCATCTCTCTACTCAGTCATGAGTTTCTCCCGCCGCAGGGAGCTGGTGGTGTGGCCAGGGCACTCGGCCCCCTGCCCGCCAGACTGTCAGGAGCCTGGGACCACCATCGCTTCTTACACCCTGGGCCACATTCCTACCTGGAGAGGGAGATCCTGAACTGTGGTGGCCTTCGCTGCAGGAATAAGCAGACAAGTGATTTGTGCCTCACCTTTGTGGCTGGATGGAATAGGTAAGATGGTAAGTATTTCACGCAGAGGTAGTTATCTGGAGGCCATGGTGCCCTGGGCCTGCCCTGTACAAGGGATGTGGGGGCTGGCTTGAAGGACCTGCAGCTGGCCACTGCTGGCCCCCAGGGCAGATGGAGCGAGATGAGCCCGTTGCTGGTGTGGTTGGGAGGCAGCAGTGGGCCTTGCAGAGGGGAGGGATGCACAAGCAGGAGTGGAAACATGCATCCAGCCTCATATTTGTAGCTGGTTGGCTGGTTTGAGTGTCAGCTTGGCTAGTGTCTGCATTGCACGGGCTCCTGAGAAACTTGGTCTCCTTAGCTGATGGCTCCTGCTTAATTTGGTTTGTTCTAGCTCAGCAGCAGCTACCGATCACAAGGGTGGCTTCTCCAAGGGCAGAGTCCTAGATCAGTAACTGTGAAATAAGCATTTTTTTTTTTTTTGACATAATCCTGTAGCTGGAAAGCTCAATTATTATTTTCTGTAGACAAATAGTAGAAAACCAATACAGGCTGAAAACTGCATTCAATCTGGGATGAAGGTGGCTGCAGCGAAGGGAACGTGTCGCTGCTGGTGAGTGATACTGTCCGGGGCCCGGAGGTGATGTGCTCTGTCCTGCTCTGCTTTGTAGAGCTGGGCCCCGAAAGAGTCCCAAGCACTACGGGCCAGCCAGAGCGTGGCTTCCTGCGGGGTTTTGGAGCTGATGTCCAGAGAAGACTGCTGTGAGCCCAGCGGGGGCTATGTGGGGGCCGTAGCACTAGTCAGGACATAACAACGTGGAAAAAGCTTAAACCATGTATCTCTTGGGGACTTGCAGACACGATGCTGAAGTCAAGAGTATTTGCTCGGTGCAGACCAGGACCAAGTGAAGTTGGTGGTGGGTGCTGGGCTCCAGCTGACACCTATTGCCTTTTGTGGGAAGAGCTGAGTGTGCTACAGCCCCTGGCCTGGTGGTTACAGCCTCCTCTTGGCAAGATGGAGCTGCAGGCTCACGTCCTCAGGCAGAGGAGGGAGTTGACCGTGATTTTCACACATCCCTGGGGAGCATCCAAAGCACTGGAGTTACCTGATAATTATCCTGCAGGCTTGCTCGGTTGCAGAGACTGGGCAGGAGGTGCACCTTGGAAACGCCCAGTAGGTCAGGTCTGTGGGAGAGATGTGTGACTGTCCTGGCAGCCCAGGGCATGACTCCGCAAGGATGCTCAGGTTTGGACAGTTTGGACATGCACCTCTGGGCCCTGGAGGGCAATTTCAGACCAGCTGTGCCGTGAGAGGCACGGGGTGAGCTGGGATCCCCCTGGGGTGCCTTCATCCCCTGAAGAATGGCACAGGAAAGCTGCGGCCAGCGCTGCCTGGGCAGCCGTGTGAGGTTGACAAGAGCTGACGAGGTTCAGAATTAAAAGGGTCGAGGCGGATGAGGTGGGCAGCTTTTCCTCTGGCTGGAGGGAGATGGGTTTGGGGAGTGAGGTTTTGGCTCCAGCCAGGTTGGAAGGATGCAGGAGATGATGAACGCCCCTGGCCAGGCCCAGCCCTCGAAGCCTCCCCCTGCGAGTGCCACGGGGTGGCAGCACGGCTTTGTGGAGCGGGGCTGGAGCCTGGTGCTGAGCTGGGGTGAAGCTGCCGGGGACGGACCCGAGCAAGAGAGACCCGAGGCACATCTCCATTTTCCGCTGTGTTCCACAGCGCCTTTCGCTCCCTTCCAGCTTCCCAGGTTGTGTCCCTCTTCCCTGGCTCCAGGGATGGGGATGGCCACGCTGGAGCTGTTTCAATGCTGGAGGCACACCAGGACCCCTTCCCCAGTCTCAGGCAACCTTGTCCCCTGGCCCCACGGTGCAGAGGAGGTGACAAGAGGGCTCTGCACAGGACACTGGGCAGGGTGGGCTTGTTTGGCTGGGCTCTGGGTATGGGTCTGCAGGCACGGTGGTTCACATCTCCCTTCCTGGGAAGCTGCAGTCTTGCAGTAACACAGTCACTACCCAGGGCTGGGAGTTTTGCTTAGGAAATTGTCCCCAGGGTTGTCACCGTGCCTCTCAGGGAAGGTGAGGGGACTTTTGAACCCCACAGGAATCCCACCCCTTGCTAGGAAGTACAACTGCTCCAAGTTATATAGAGTTAAGACTGGTGGGGGCTGCAGTGCAATAGAGCCAGAACAGCAAGGAAAACAGGCTCAGGCTGAATACCGGTGGTCTTTCGGGGGGAGCTGCACCTCTTCTGCCTGCAGCAGCTCGCAGCGCTTCCAAGAACCTGGTGCCTCTAATCGGTCTGGCTCGGTGAGCTGCTTCCCTTCGAGCTTGCTCGCTCGCCCACGCATGCACCGCATCTCCCAGCCCACGCCGCCCAAGTGATTCATTGCTCCCAGGCTGCCGGAGCTGAGCGCTGGACCTCTGCAAAGCACCTGAAATGAGCATTTCAGTTAGACTCCAGCCCCGGAGCTGCCAGGGTTTTGTAGCAGCAAAAAGCAAACGGATGTGGAGCTTTATTTGCTGAGAAAAGTAGGGCAGGGAGCTCTCACGTTGAAGAAACTGAAGGAAAAATGTGCGGCGGCAGCCTGGGCTGTAATAGGGAGAGAAAGCGTCAACCGGGCAGGGAGCTGTAGATTTAAGACGGCTCCTCCCCCTGCACCAAATGACGCTAAAATATTTCAACCGGGCCTGAAAATCCTGCAGGTTTGGCATCCAAAGCAGCCTGGCAGTTCTCAGGCAGTGGGGGGGCTGGGGCAGCCCCCGGCAGCGCAGGCAGGAAGCACGACCCAGTGGATTTCTTTGTGCGGGTTTTGAGAACCGATACCCCGGTTCTCCCTCTGGGCGAGAAAAGCGACTTTCCAAAACCGCAGAGCACACGGTGTTTCTAAGTGAAGCAGCTGCTGGCGGTGCTGGGAAATGCCCGGCTGAGCCGTCCCCACCTGTGTGGGGGCCCTCCGTGTGCCGCCCTGGGGACGGGGACGTGCCCACGCACACCGCTCCCCACTGCCCGGCGTTGAAAGTGGCTCACATTGACCTTTGTCTTGTAGCTTGGACAAGCTGGGCTTCAGATGAAGGGGGTCGTGTGTTAGAGCACGTTGGGCTCCGGCCAAGGGAGACTGTGGCGGGGTGAGCCCCCCTGGTTTTGCTCCCAAGGATGCTCCGTGCCCACCATGGCATCCTCCCCCGTTGTCACCCCTGTGCTGGTGCAAAAGCCAGCGGGCAGGGGTGCTGCCCAGGGCCGGCTGCAGCAGCACCAGCCCTGCTTTGCCCTAAATCTGCTTTCACTTGTGGCCTCACTGCCTCCCAGCACGCAGCTTCAGGCTTTCCCAGGTGGCTCTCAGCTGTCCTTGTGCACCTGGGCAGGGGGGGGGCTGGTTACTGCAGCAGTGCAGAGACCCTTAGTGGTAGGTGCTGGATGGAAAAACAAAACAAAACAGAAACAAACCCCAGCTTAGAATTGTTTTCCTTTGAAAATAGCTGAGGAGACCTTAGCAGGGTGGAGGTGCAGGGGAAGATGACCTGGGTTGTCCTCCTGCTACCTGTGCTGCCTGCCCGGGGCCGGGGTGAAACACTGCTGGAGCAAGGATGGCAAAGCCTCGGTGCCTGCTGTTAACGGGTGGCCCATCCTGCCCATCACCCCTGTGTCAGGGCCCATGGGCAGAAGCCACGGAGGCACCTGAGTGTGTCTGATGCGGTGGGGAGAGGAGGGGGCCTGGGGCCAGGTTTCGGTAGCAGCCGTTGGGACGGGCTGCAGAGGGGATGGGCGCATGTTTCGAAGGTGCAGGCAGCTAGGAAAGCTTTCAAAGCATGGCAGAAACGAGGCACAGCTGCCACGTGCACCATCCCAGGGGGTTCTCGGTGCACTGGTGGTGGAGGTGGGTGGGCAAGGAACTGGGACGTGTCCCCTGCTGAGGGGATCTGCAGGGAAAACAGGGAGCTCTGATGTGTGCTGGGTCCTCTGGGTGTTTGCCTCTTAGGAATTGCAGTGGAAGGAGGAGGCTCTGCTTTGTGAAGGAGCCACAGGCTGGTGGGCTATCGGTTCCTGAGTAGGCCTGCAAAGGGCATGTGAAGATGGTACTGCCACTCCTTGCAAGCTCAGTGCTGTCTGAAAAGAGGCCTTAAGTGCTTCATGGTGGACACCTCTAAACCCGCTGGTCTGCCAACACAATTGGGGTTTTTGTAGCGGGGGCAACACAAGCAGCTGGTGGAGGGTCCCAAAACTCCTCTTGGCTGAGACCTCTCACCTCCGTGGTCTGTTCCTGCAGCTCTGCGTCATGGGAAGGGGACCTGCCAGGGATTGGCGGGGCAGAGTGGGGTCCCACCCTGACGGTGGAGGGCACTGGGGGTGCTGAGGGCACGATTCCTTAGGGCAAATGGCAGAGTGAGACCACAGCTGAAGTCACAGGAGGGATTTGAGAACCTGATGGTATTTACTCTGTCCCCAGCTCTCACGGACCTCCTGCTGCATCCCAGGTGGCACTTGTCCTTCCTCCTCATGGACAAATGTGCATCACCCAGGCTCTGGCCAAAGCGGGCGCTGGGCTGGAAGGGGCTTTTCCCCCACAGCTGAGGGAATGGTCCTCCTGCGTGGGCAGCTGCAGAAGAGCCGCTGAGTGCCCAAACAGAGCCCTGGGACACGGGCTGAGCGAGGAAGTTGCACCTCCTCTGGTGGGTCCCCAAGCAGCCCAGGAGCATGGTCAGCACGGTCTGGTGGCCACAGGATCCGGTCCCTTGGCCAGGCTGGGGACTTCGACACTGCTCTCCCAGCACCACCCGGCCCAGGCAGTCTGGAAAGGTGCCCTCGACACCAGGTCTGGGGAGATGCTTCCTGGCATCCCTGGGTGCCTGTCCCACCTCAGAGTCTCTGGGACCTCAGAGGTGCTCAGCTCCTCCTATACCTTGTCCTGGGGCAGGTCAGAGGCTGCTGGAAAAGGAGGGACTGTCACCACTGAGTTCAGCCCCACATCTCCTGAGACTGTCCTGCCCCGGGAATTCCATAGCCCAGCGGGGTGGCTCTCGTCCCTCCTTCCCCATATCACTGCTGGGCTCAGTCCCAGAGCATCCTCCAACCCACGGGGGCCCACCCTGGCGCAGAGCACCCCGGGACGTTGCGCAACCCTTGGATTAAGGCAAGAAAGGGGAAAATAGGAGTCGCCCAGCCGTGCTGCCGCAGTGCAGCGCCGGGTACCGCGGGGAGGCCTCTCCGGGGGTGCTGGGGCCCCCTGACCCATGGCCTCCCCTTCCCCCCACCTGCAAGGCCGGTTGCAGCAGGTGACATGGAAAATGACGGCGCACTTTGTGCCCCGCCAGCGCCAGCCCAACGGTCCCGCGCCCGTCATTGGCGCAGACGGGCCACGATTTGTCTATATATGGGCAAAGCGAGGCGCCCGCGTTAACCCGTGTGTCCCCCCGCGCCCGCCCCGGCGCGTCACTTCGGCTTTTTGAGGTTTCCCTTCACGCTCTCATTTGCCTCCCGCCCGCCGCCTCTTTCACCCCGGCAGTTTCTAGTTGACTCACTTTTAACGGCCTTGCTCCAACCCCGGCCCCGCCGGCAGCGGTGCTTCCCGGGGGGACAGGGTGTGGGCAGGGGGGTCAGGCGGGGAGCCCACCCCAGCATCCTGCCTGGTGCTGGGGTCCTGGTGGTAAAACGTGGCTCAGCCCGAGCCCAGCCCCGTGCGCATGGCAGCCCCTCTTTTTTGGGCGCAGAGATAGGGTGCTCAGCCGTGCTACGGGTGCTACAGTTCTTCCCTGTGCCCCGTTGTGCCTGGAAGGATGGTGACAAACAATGCTTTGCCCTTCCAAAAAGCTCTCGGGGACCGGTGTAGGCGCCCCAGAATTCTTGGGTGCAGCAGCAGACCTCCCCGCGCTCTCCAGGAGCATCGCCAGGTCAGACCCCCCCTGTGGGTCTTTTTTGAGGCCACCCCTTGCAGAGCAGAGTGGGCTGTGCCCATCCCCGCACCTCTGTTCCCTGTTCAGAGTGTGGAGCTGGTGGCTCATGTCGGGAATGCATTCATTAGGCTTCAGTGTTAACAGTGACACAATTGAGGCACTGTGGGTCTGTTGGGATCTGGCACAATGATGGCCAGGAGATGCTGCTGGCTGGCCATGCCACTGGGGCTGCGGACCCAGCGGCTAGCAGACCACCTTTCCCACTGGCCCCAGGGCTGTGGAGGGGGCTCAGGGAGGCTTTGGGTGAGACCACCCCATTTCTCCTTCTCCTCCAGCACAGCTCTCAGGCCCACGAGATGCTGGATGGACGGGAGCCATGTGGGCACGGCAGGGGCAGAGACCCGGCACAGAGCTGGGTCCACGGGCCAGGGCGCCGGCACGAGTTCGTCTCCTTTAAACACGGCGCAGGGCGAAGGCAGCTGGCCTGGCCGCCACTTCCCCTGCGTGCAGCGAGCGCCGCGACCGCAGGCGAGGAGGGGAAGTTGCTGCAAGGCGCGATAAGAAATATCAGCGCTTTCACAGCGCCCGGGCTGCGCCGTCCGACAAGGGCCCTTCCCCCTGCCCGTGGGCCGGGACTGGTGGTGCTGCTGCCCCCTGAACCCCTGGCTCCCGCTCCCCTGTGCTCGCCGATACTGGGAGAGTTACTGGAAAAGCAACAGCCCGTGTCCCGCAGGGCAGCAGGGAGTTTGGGTCCTGGAGGATGGCAGCAGCAATGCCCCCTCAGTGCTCAATACAGAGCAAAAACTGAGTAGCAGCCCTGGGTGCATGGGGATGCTGCGGGTGTCCAACACGCACCTGGGTGCCCTGAGGCAAGGGCAGGGGAGGGCAGAGCCGGGGGAGCAGTGCCACGGTGAGAGACAGTTTGGGTTAGGGAGCTGCACCCCGGGGAGCAGCAGCACCCTGGGGGTCCATCAGCAAGTCCCTGGGTGATGCTGAGCAGCTGAACAGGGTGCGGAGAGGGACCTTGAGAGCGCTGGGGACCGGACACTCTCACAAGGTCCCTGGGGGAGGAAACAGCCATTTCAGCCTCCCCCGACCCCAAAAAGCCTCTGTGCTCTCAGCCCTTTGGGAGCTATTTTGGCCTGGCATGCCGAGCAGAGCAAGACCAGCAATCCGGGGGCAAGGGCTGAGGCAGAAATTCCTGCAGCCTCATTTGCCGGTCAGTAAAATTAACCAATGGCCAGGGGATGTGGTAAGTTCATCATCAGTTGGAGACTTTCAGGCCTCCTCTCCTGAGCCCAAGGAACCAGATCTGCTGATTTCCTCCTTTCCGAGAGGCAGTGCAAGCGGCGAGTGGCTGTTGCTGGCAGAAGAAAACCAGCTCGGTACAACCAAAATTGTCATGTCCCCCAGTCCATGCTTGGCTGGGGAAAGAGGAAGCGCCGCCTCCCCCCACTTCCTTGCCGGGAAGGCGCCCGTGGCCGTCCCACACAGCTCCGCAGCACCCCAGCACCCAGCAGCATGGGCTCTGCCCGAGAGCCCCATTTTGGGAGGGCACAGCTCCTTCCCCACTGCGGTCCCCACAGCGTTCCCCGGGCACTGGCCACGTGCTTCGCCCTCCCCCTGACAGCTTGCCCTCCGGTGCAGTCTCTCCCAGCTGCTTCCTTTAGGAAACATACCTTCATCTTGCTTTGCAACATGGTTAGCCTTAAATGGACCTTTTCTTGCAAGGGTTTGGCTTCTCACCTTCACTCCCCTGCCTCCCAGCTCCCTGTATTTAGCAGGGGCTGGCTTGTTGTCGGAGCAGGCACTCTGCAGGAAATGTGGCCTTGACCCCGGAGCATGGGGGAAAGTCCCTCAGCAGCACCTCTGGGACCAAAGTTCCCTCCGGCTGGCCCAAAAAAGGCTCCTCGGCTCTGCTAAGAGCATGGTTGTCTGTACTCTCTGCAACACCGACCCCCTCGTGATGGCACCCACCACCACTGGCGACTGGCCCACGGCACCAAGGTGGCTGACGGCGCTGGGTGCTGTCTCCAGGGAGGGTCTCTGGGTTGAGAACAACCTGCTCAGACACCCAAACTGACGTTCACACATTTCAGGTGTCCTCAGAAGGGCTAATTCGGGGAGCTCAGGCGGCACGCAGCCCAGCTCCACGTGGGGCCAGCCCTGCACAGGGTGGCCTCTGCCGCCGGCGAGGAGCCGCTCACCACATGCCTCTGGCAAGGCAGAGGGATGCTATCCCGGGTCAGAACTGCGTCAGCTGCCAAACAGACCCTGTGGAGACATCACCAATGGCTGCTTAGATTTCCCTGTTGAATTTCTCACTGGCACAGGGAGGACAATGGTCCCAGCCTGGTGACCATAAGGGATGGAGACTGGGCCAGTGAAGGGTGGCAGACAGGTCAGCCCTCTGGGGGCCGGGGGTGCAGGTAGGCTGGCTCACTCCAGCCATGTCTGAGGTTTTTTCCAGTGAAACTCTTTCAGCAGTTCAACCTTGGTTTGGAAAGAGTTTCCTGACCAATTCCTCCTCCTCCACCAAAGCCCCTTCTACCTGCTGTCATCAGCACACGTGCCGCTCGAGTCAAATCACTTCTTACTGTGCCACTGCTCGGTTATTTTTGACTTTGCTTTTCCCCTGCCTTCTGCAAGCCTCACCCGTAGGTTGGTATTTTTTTTTACATTTCCGTCCAGATTATCAATGTAGTGAGTGAATCGCGTTGGCCTAAAAAAGATCCTTTTGCAGAGCAGCACGAAAATCATTGCACAGACCAATGTGGTCCCATTTACAGTCATTTTGGGGGATTTAGCTTGTAGTTTTTAATCTAGTTTAATGGGCAGCATCACCTGGCACTGGGGCAGGGCAAGCTCCTGGCACGCAGCGTGTTGCTGGCCGTGCAAACCCCCCTGCTCTGCATCCCACGGCTGCTCCAGCCCTGGTGCCGTCAGGCAGCGACGGCCACTGCGACCCGGGCGTGCAAACCCTGCAGACCTTGCTTTTGGTTTTCTCCCCAGAGGAGTCCCTGTCAGCCGTTACGGCTGCCCGGGGGCTGGGATAAGTCTGGTGTTGCAGAGCACCGAGCGAGTGAAAGGCTCCAGGAGGTCTCTTGGGCAACACGTATTTCCTAAAGAGCAGGACTGGGGCTCACAGCTTGCTGGCCCACATGTCCCCGCCAGCTTCGCCCCTACCACCGCGCAACACCCTGAATCCTGCAGACCCCTGCCACGGGCTGCCGGCCCCTCCATAAGCTCTCTCCGTGGTCAGGAACATCTCAGACCCCTGCAAGTCTCACCACCAGGACAGAGCGAGGGGACACAGCGGAGCAACACAACCATCGGGGCCCCCAAGTAGCCGTGTTGGGGGGTGGGGAGGGTGGATTCAATTACTGTCACCCTGTGCGAAGAGCATTTTTTTTTTTTTTTTTTTCCCTTTTTCTTTTTTTGCACAAACATGTTTGTCTCTCTCAGCAGCAAAGCCCAGGAGAGCGTAACCGGCTGCTCTGCAACGGCCCCCGGTGCTTCCGGCGCTCGGAGGCGGCCGCCCCTTGCCCCGAGGCTGGGCCGGCTGCGGTCAGGCTGCGTGGTGGCGCTGGGTGGGACCATGCACCGTTATCTCCTCAGCAGCTACGGCTCTTCCTGTGGTCGGGGCCACGTGGGCAGGATGGGGTTAAAAGTGGCCCTGCTCCCCACAGGGGCCCATTGCTCCCCGGCCACCACCATCACCCCATGCAGCACCCCACTGCACCGGCACCCGGCGTGGGCCACTGGCATCTGGCATGCACCACCGGCACCCGGCACGGGTCACCAGCACCCAGCGTGGGTCACCAGCACCCGGCATGGGCCATCAGCAGCCGGCATGGGCCATCAGCACCCAGCATGGGCCACCTGTGCCCCAACCCGGTAATGGGGGGACCCATCTGAGGTGCCCACGTGGCACTCAAGGTGCAGCACGGGGTCTCCTGAGGTGCCGGTTGCCGCGGCCCCGATCCCGCTGCGAGGGGGGGCGGTGGGTGCTGGGGGCTGATGGCAGGTAAGGGGGTGCCCCCCCCATCCCGGGGAGCGGGGCGCAGTGGGGTGGAGCGGTGGGGGGAGGAGGTGCCGCGCTGGCGCGCGGGCGGAGGCGGGAAGTGCCCGAAGCAGAAGTGCCACCCAGGGGGTTTTCAGTGGCAGCGAGGACAGGACCGGGTAGACACGGAGGCTGGTGGGGCAGGTGAGGTGAGGCTGGCAGGGCTGGGGTCTGCGTGACCTGAGGCACAGGGACCTCCAGGTGACCCCCACCACATGGCCCGAAGGGCAATGGGGGCTTTGAAAGCGTCTCCGTGTGGCTGGCAGATGGGGTGAGGTGGGGTCCTACAGGGAGCCCCAGTCACGGAGCTCCCGTGTCTTCAGGGGCAGGAGGACAAGGCAAGGGGGTTGTCGGTAAAGGATGAGGGGGGTGAGGGGGGGTCCCCCATGGGGACATTTCAAGGGTGACAAGGATGGGGTTTTCCATAGGATCCCCACCATGGGGACAAGGCAAAAGAGTCCTCTGTAACCAGAGGTTACATTTAGGTGAGGTCTCCACCATGGGGACATGGCAATGCAAGGGTTCTCCATCATGTGGATGGAGATCACCCTGGGCTCCCCACTGTGGGGACAAGGAAAAGGAGTCCTCTGTGACCAGGGTACTGTTTAGGTGAGGTCCCCTCGTGGGGACATGGCAAGGGGGGCTGCTGCGGACGCAGATGGGATTTGAGGGATGATGATGGAGTTTGAGATGGGATCTCACTCTTGGGATCCAGGCAAGGGGGTCCTTTGAGACCAGGATGGGGTTTGAAGGGCAACAACGGAGTTCAAGGTGCGATCTCCCCTGTGGGGACAAGGGGATGGCCGTCCGCGAGTGGGATGGGGTATGAGCTGGGGGTGTCCCCATGGGGGCAAAGCAAACACACCCTCTGTGCCGAGGATGAGGTCTGAGCGGGGATAATGGGGTTTGAGGTGGGGTCCCCACCAGCAGGGACGAGGCAACTGGGTTCTATGTGACCAGAATGGGGTCTGAGGTGGAGTCCCCTGCTCTGGGGACAAGTCAAAGTGGTCTCCTATGACCAGGATGGAGTATTAGGTGAAGTGTCCTCCTGGGGGAAAAGTGAAAGCTTATTCTTGTGACCAGAATGGGGTCTGAGGTGGGGTCCTTCCTTTGGGAACAAGTCAAAGCTGTCGCCTATGACCAGGATGGGATATTAGGTGGCTTCCTTGCTTTGGAGACAAGGTGAGGATGTCCCTTCTGCCCAGGATAGAGCTTCAGGTGGGACAATGGGGTTTGAGGTAGGGTATCACCCGTGGGGACAAGGTGAAGATGTCCCCTGTGCGCAGGATGGGGTTTTAGGGGAGACGAGGGAGCACAAGGTAGGATCTCCCCCATGGGGATGAGGATGTCCACCATCCTTGGCACAGCTCCTTGAGGCGGGAGGTGACGCTGGCAGAGGGTCTCTGTCCCTGGGGCAAGATCAGCTCTGCAATTTGCATCCCCAGCCATGCCCGACGTCGAAGGTGGTCCCATGGCTGGGCCACGTGGGGTGCGCGAGGTGGCCCCGCACAGGCAGAAGCGAGCACTTCGCCAGAGGAGAGCAACCGCCGGACACCGACTGAGAGACAGTGCAGTCACCCATAAAGTAGAAAGCACTACTAAACAGCACTGCAGGGTGTAGTGTTTCCTACTTTATGGATGAGTGTACTGTGGGCTACGGAGAAGAGAGCACCGCCGCGACCCGCGTGCCCGTCACGAGTTGTGCGCGGTCCGAGAGCAGAGGACAGGCTGTGCCTGGCTCCCAGGAGGGTGCCCACGCTTGGCCACCCACCCCATGGGCACCACCACCCTCCCCGGGCTGCGGATGCTCTGCTCACCCCCACTGTCCCTCTGGCACCTGGGGACCGGCCACGTGGGGAAGAGGGGTTGCACAGCCCGGTGCCCCACGTGCGCGGTGGAGGGGCCTGTCGGGTCAGAGCGAGCACCATGCTGGGAGGCCAGGTAGGTAGCAAAGCCTCCAATTCCCTTTTTTTTTTTTTTTCCACCCATCTTCATTTTCCATATGGCGAAGCCCTGGGAAGAGCTGGGAGGGGGCAGCCACGTGCAGTGGGGAGCGGCATGGGAGGCGGACGGGGGGGTCCTGGCTTGCTTTGTGCTGCTGAATGATTGCTGGGTGCAGCAGGGCGAGGGGCTGCTAAATAAAAGTCTTTTGGCATTGACTTGTGGACTTTTTTATTCTACTCCTGAGAAATGCAAAACCGGGGAAGAGATACTTGCAGTGCCCAGGGCCATGGGCAGCAGCGGGAGGCACCGTGAGCTTGCACGCTGCTGGAGACCATGTTCAAAGCCCTGGGGGAGCCTTGGTGGGATCGGGTGGGGGGGGGACTGGAAATAGCTCAAGAGGATTGGGCAAATCTCAGCCCATCGACACGGGGAAATCACCTCCAGTCCCCCAAGGCTCACCAGGAAAGCTGCCGTGTCCGGCTGCAGCCCCGGCCATGGTCGCAAGGCCACGTGGACTGAAGAGACCCTCCTGTGGTCCCTGTCTCCCTCCAGTCACACACCCCTGGCCCGTCGTTCCCGGGGGGGTTCTAAAACCAACCCAGCTTCCAGGGATGCAGGAGGAGGGTCCTTGTTCCCCAGACATCAGCTCCCAACCCCTGCCCCCAGGCACCTTCACCCTTGGCTTTGACTCCCTATCTCCTGCCTGTGGGAAAGGGCATCTAAAAATAGTAGAAAAAAATGAATTAAAAATACACTTTTTTTTCCCTTTGTTGAGCCCAAATGTTAATAGGAAGGTTCCACATTTTGTAAAACTTCTTGTGCTGGTTTTGGGAGCGTTTGTGGGTGTTTTTATTGAGTTTGGGGTATTTTTCTTTCACTTTGACCCCTCCCTGGGCTGGACAGAAAGGACCAGGGTATTTTGCTTCTCTTTGCTGTCCTGGCTTTCCCACGTTCCCTGGCTTTGTGACTGTTTGAAGGGGATGTGGAAGGAAAAAAAAAAAATCAAATCAAAACTGTCGTCATGGTCACAAGGAGGCAAGTTTTTAAACAGTAAAAACGAAAAAGAGCTAAAAAAAACTCCTAAGCAGCCAGTGCAGACTGTTCTGAGCAGCTTTCATTTTGCTGTGTGCTGGAAAGGAAACGCAAGTCCAAGTTTTCAACATGCAAAAGTTTTGAAAGTTCACCTCCTAATGATGAATATTCAAGTATTAAGAAGGATAAATACCAAATGGTTTTGATCGAGGACTATTGTGGTTATGAATATTGCAGCCACTCAGCATTCACTGCCGGGAGAGACATTTGAAAACACGTTTCTTGCTGAGAGCAGCAAAACAGAAACTGCTACTTTTTTCTCTTTAAAAAAAAAAAAAAAATTCCATTTTTTAGTGCCCTCCCTCTGTACTGGATGCGTTTTGACAGGTTCCCGCAAGGAAATGTGTCCTCTCCTTGTATTGGGGTGAGCTCCTGGTGTCCGTAGGACCTCGGCTGGTTTATCCTTGCCCTGTTTGATGCCGCAGAGGTGGGCAGGCAGCGCGGTCCCGCTGCTTCGCAGACCCAGAAATGACCTGAGCAGGGCTGGGGCTGGGGCTGAGACCCCTCCGGGTGCTGCAGAGGGTGGGGGTGACCGTCCCAGCGCTGTCAGGGTGGCTCTGGGGAGGGCTATAGGCACCGACAGCCACCCGGCCAGGCTCTGCGGGTGTTCAGGGTAAGAGCCAGTGTCTCCCACACCAGCCCCGGGGCACGTCGTGGTGTTTCCGCACCGCACTGTGCCGGGCCACCACGTCTGCGGCTGCACCGTGACCTCCGGCAGGGCCAGCCCATCACATCCCCTTTTCTGCTAGGTTATTTTTAACCGGGGTTAGGTCCTCGCGCTGCTCCACGGCACAGCCCCACCAGCGGCCGTGTGCTGCTGGGGGGTTGTAGGATCGGGGGGAAGAGCGAGTGTGGGCGACCTGACCCCTTGCATCTCCTCAGAGCTGCGCCAGGACGTGTCAGAGCAAATCCCTGGCCAAGGGGGTGGGTACACAGAGTGGGGAAACGGGTGCTGAAGGACTGCGCTGGGAGAGCGGGCACCCACTCGTGTCACTGCACGGTTCTGCAGTCACCAGAGTGAGCTCATGCACGGAGGCAGGAGGGGCCATCTCGCTGGGGCCATCCCCGGGGATTTGCCAGAAAGAAGGTGGAAATGGGTTGGCACCCACCAGTCACCTCAATTTGGAGATGCCCATGAGTGCTGACACAGGATACCATCCCCGCACCCATGTGTGGGTCCCCCAGGGCTGGCATGGCCCCAGGTGCTCATCCTCACCCTTCCTTCCCCAGCTGAGGCCACAGTGGAGCTCTTACAAATCCCTCTCGATCCCTGCGAAACGCCATCCCCAGCACCAGAGGAGCTCAACATGAGTCAGCAGGCACTAATTGGTCTTAATTGACCTGAGCAGCCTCACCTGGGACCCCACCCAGCAGACCTGCTGCCCCTGGGCCAGGAGCATTATTTAAACTCAGCCCTGGGTCTTTAGTCCTCGTTTGAGCTTTGATGTGGGTAGGTCTCTGTTTGGTCTTGTTTTCCTGGATGGCCACTGGATCTCTATTGTAAGGAGCTACTTTCCAGCCATGTCTTCGGGATGGATCCTCAATTCCTGTCACAGGTAGCTTGTCTCTGGCCTTGCACACTGGACCCCATGCACCTATCCTGTAGTCCTGGCTGGGATCACTGGTCCTGGTTCAACTTGTCTGGGACTGTTAAGGGACCCTGTTACTGGTGACCTGCTCAAAAGTTGTGGGGTGGCTCCCTAGGTTTTGAGCACTCTGTGTGCTGGTGTCACGTGTGGCTTCTTATTTGTTGCCTGTTGTGGAGTAGCCCGATCCTTGCTGCTCCCTGACAGAAGAGAGGAAGCCCTAGGGGACCATGCACTGTACCCCTGTCCTTGTATCACCAGGCACAGGTCTGGCTCCTTGGAGGCCTTTGGAGAGCAGTGGGTGCTGCTGGGGGGCTCTGCTGGGATCCTTTTTCATATTTCCAGACTTGAGCTGTTGATGTTGAGTTCTTCAATATCACCCATTTTTTATTGGTTGCTGTATATCATTGCCTCTTCCCTGAGCCTGTGGTTTCCTCTGTCCTGGGAGAGCTTCAAGAATGTTTCTAGGAAGAGCTTTGGTGCATCTACAGGGAGTGCAGCCCCACAGCAGATCCTTGGGTGATTTGGAGGACCAGGGTTGCCTGTAGCACACCATCTCCATAGCTCTCATGAAGACTTAACTGACTTGCAGCTCAGAGAGCTTCTGAGCCAGTCTTTGTTTAATAGCCCACATAAAGTTCTCTTCTCTCCTAAGGATGGTCTGTAGCCATGACTTATCCAGCTGGCTAAATAGCTGTAGGCTGGCCAAGGTGTGAAAGATTATCTCCAACTTCCCAAGCTCAAGGCCCCAGGGGGCATCCTCTCCCCAGGGTTGGTGGTGGGGGCTGTGTGGACATCCCATCCAGGGCTTTCAACTCACCTAACTGGGGCCTTCGATGAAGGCTATGGGAGATCAAAAATTCAATCTGGGTTGGCCCAGGGGGTTTTCCCTGGACCCTTTTTCTCTAGGGTAGCCAGCCCTAGGAGTGCCATGGAGCCATGTGGGTCTGGCACTAGTGAGTGGGAGAAGCAGAAAGCGGCTCAGCATGTCCCGGATGAGATGAGCAGCACATGGCAGTGGAAATGCAAAACAAGACATGTCAGAGCAGGGTTTCCAAGGAGGCTGAGCTGCGAGCGGTGTGCGCGCTGCTCGCAACCACACGATCTTATCAGTGGTGCATTTCCCTTCCCACTGCTGGCTCTGGTCTACTGCTCATTAAACCCGCTTGTTCTGTCTTGTCAGCGAGCTGTGCAGCGCCTGAGCCTTGTTCCATGCTTGTGCAGCACCTGGAGATCCTGCCTGGTGTCTCTCTGGGGAAGGGGGGGGAAACAGTCATGGGCAGGGACCAAGGGGGATCCCAGCGGTGGGACTCATTCTGAGCTGTTCCTGGAGGTGAAGGGGTCACTTAAGCTGGTGTTTTGAAGGCACGCAAGTACCAGAAAACACAGAAAGGTGGGATCTGGAATCTTCCCTCTGGTCTGTTGGCTGCATTTGCTGCTCATGACCAGCTTGGAGCTTTCCGCCACCATGCACAAGCCCTTAAAAGCAGACAGCTCAGGGATCCAGGCTTTGGGTAGGATGGCAGGGTCTTGTGTGAGGTTGATATGAGAGACTTGGACCTGGTGGTAACTCCCCACAGCACAGGACTCCATTTAAATGGGTCATCTACACCATTTGCAGTCAGTGGTGAGAAATAACTGTTTTAGAGGTGATTTGCCTGTGCTGCCTCTGCTCAGGCAGAGATGACGCATAGCCAGTGGCATCTCTTTCAAGAGCTGACACATCTGGCTGTGCTGAGGAAGCTCTCAAAGGCGGTGCTCAGAAAGTGGTGCCTAAAAGGGGCACCAAAGACACCCCCTACATGGTACCTCCCCTGGGGCAGGAGGCCCAGAGCAGTCTCTCCTGGTGCAGGAGCCCTGACCACAATGGGAGCAGCATGCTGTGAAATGTCAAATGTGTTCCCCACCCTCCAGTGGGCCTGGGGGTTGTTGCCACAGACAAGGATGTGGGGAAGCAGGACCTGTCCCCAGCTGCTCAGCATCAGTATGAGGTTTGCGCTGGTGGGTCAAGCCTTGAGCAGAGCTGGGGAGCAAGGACACACAGATGTACCCCAGGGTGGCCCAGTGGCTTTCCCCTGAGCCTTGCTGACGCTGCACAGGCTGATGAATGAGGGCATCTTCACCAAAGACGCAGCAAGGCAGGGAGTGGGCAGAGAGAAACAGAGCCTATGCCTGCCTGCTCTGTGTGTATGTGTGCTCAGAGGTGGCAGTGCCCTGCTTTGCTGTAGTGTTATGCTTCTGAACCTTATCACCCTCCTACCCCCCACCCCAGCCACTACCCTGGGCACGCTGCAGGCAGGGCCCAGACTGCGTTTTTGGCAGCGAGATGCTCCCAGTACGCCATGCCCTGGGCAGCAGGAGTGTGGGCTGAGGTTTTGCTCACCCGGAGGGAAGATGTGTGAGAATCCCCCGGGGCAGAGCCCAAGCTGCCCCTTCCTGTGCCCGGTGGCCACCAGAGCAGGAGGGAAGGGGGGAAACCTGCTGGCTTTCCCGGAATCAGACTCACTGGCCCTGCACAGGGCACAACGGGCTGGTCC